ATAGTGTGGACTCACAGACCCCTGGAGAATTAATGAACCCAATGGAATCAATCTAATCTCTTTCATGTGGGGCGAATATGGTTTTGGTGACACTGGTAAGGCACTCTTTGCTCCTAAACAAATTATAAAAACAATAGAGCTGTTGCTTATGCATTATGATTTAATCCTAGGGAAACTGAAAACCTGTTTATGATTCCTAACTGATGAGGAACCTGAATCAAATGAATGGAAAGTGACTAAATGGCAGAGGTTATACCTGAAGTGGGGTTGGTTTCCAGTGTGGGGCTCCTTCATTGAACCCAGTTTCCTAGGGAGGATTCCCTGAAACCATCATCCCACCACCATCCTCTTCATAAAACAGATAGCCTACCAGGAGCCCAGGGAAATAGGGAATTGGTCTGAGGTTTTATTTTTGTTTTTTTTTTTTTTTATGGTTTAGGTAAGATGATGTGATCAGAGAGTAATTATAAAGCACTATTAGGATGCCTCTGGGTCTACAGAAGATGAAAAGGCTAAGGCAGAAATTCTCAACCTTTTTGTCAAGAACCCTTTCTACTCTTTAAAAGTACAAAAGACCTATAGAATTTTTGCTTCCGTGTGTTATGTTTATTTAATATATATTTAGTATGCCAATTTATATTTATCATATTAGAAAGTAAGACAGAAATTTTAAAATATTTAACTCATTTAAAAATAACAAAATCACTACCTATTATAAGCATTTTTACTAAAATATCTATATTTTCCAAAAATTAGGAAGAAAGGTGGCATTGTGTTCTATTTTTGCAGATCTCTTTGCTGAGCTTCATAGAAAAGCTGGATTTTCATATCTGCTTTTGCATTCAATCTGTTTTGAAACCACTATTGCATAAGCTGTTTAAAATTCGTCTATAAAACCATAGGAGCATGAGAATGGAAAAGGCAGATGGTATCTTAGCAGTATTAGGAAGACGGTTGACCTTGGAAACCCACTTTAAGAACCACTGAATTAAAGACATACTACAAACTCTCCCCGCTAATTTTGCTGATGACAGACAACTGAATGGTGAAGTCAGCACTTCCTAGCCCTGGGACTATGGTGACATGTGCAGACACATAAAACCTCCATGGTTGGTTTCAGTATATAATGCAAACCACAGGGATGAATAAAGGCAAGAGTTGTCCAGGGGAACAGAAGAGCTTGGATGATATTGCATTAAAACACAAGGGGAAGTTTGTTCCCTTGGTAAAATTTTTACTGTTCACCAATATCTGCTTCCCCTCTCTGCCAGGAAGCTAAACTTCTCTTCCCCTTGAAATTGTATGTAGCCACATGACTTCCTTGAAGCGGAATGATGTGTGGCCTTTCCAGGAAGAGGTTCTAAGAGCTGGTTTGCTCCTCTGCACACTCCTTCTCTCTCCACATGTTCTGTGTGGATATCAGCTTCCCCACCAACCTGGGGCTCAGAGTCAGGATAACACCAATGGGAAACAATTTTCAGCTAACCCTTACTGGGCATGTAACACACTTGAGAAACACTTGTGGTTTTCAGCCATTGAGATGTTGGGATTGGTGGTTATACCAGCACAATCTAGCCCATCCTGACTAATACAGCCACTTCACTGGAAAGGCAAATCAAAGGCATATAATGTACTATTTAATGCCTGTTTATTGGGAGATTACTGTGCATTAAACACCATGCTAGGTGTTGTGATTACAGATGACTTAAATTTGGCAGCAGCCCTTGAAGAACTTACACTGCAGAAGGTACGTAGATAAACTGTTGCCCTACTGTAATTACCACTATCAACAAGGGTGAATCTAGGCTACTATGGGAGGGAAACATCCTTGAATCCTTTATCAGTCTTGGAACCAGCAAGAAACTGACAGTACATTTAGGTGGGATTTCCAAAGGGATCATTTTTGAGGTGTGGGCAGAGTCCAAATGGCTACAGGGATGCTGAGGCATCTGTGACCATCAGCAGAGGAAAGCCAACCCCGCCCCAGCTTGAAGGGAGGATGGCTAGAAACGGTGTTGTTGGACCTGGTGTTACTGGACTCAAGATGGAAGGGCCATTTAATTATAGTCGTAGAAAAGGACAGTCAGCGCCAGCCCACAGCAAAACAGGCAGGAGGAATAAACACTCTGACTTCTCTCTCTTTCTCGTCTCTAGTCTCCTGCCTATGCCTCCTGCTAGGCAGGAAACCAGAGACAAGGGAGCCTGGGTGATGCCATCAAACAGCTGGTAGACACCAATATTCTAGTCCTCAGAGCAGGGTGGGGAGGGTCACAGGGAATCTGGAGAGGCAAATGGAGAACAGCATGAATAAGGTTCAAACAACATAGACATTAAATGAATTGTTGAAATAATATTTTTCAAAACTTTTAAAAATTTCACTGCTTAATTAAAATGCCTAAATTTGCAGAGTCCACAGCTACCGATGGAGTGAAGAGGGGTTTGAATGAGTGTAGAGGGTGCATACTTGAGGCTTCTATTATGAGAGAGAGAGGCAATGGGCATATAGCCAGAAAACCAATTGTGGGTTTTTGTTGAATAAAGACTTTGTTTTTTAGAGAAGTTTTAGGTTCACAGAAATATTGAGAAAAAGTTACAGAGATTTTCCACATACCTACTGCCTCTATACATGCACAGGCTTGTCCACTGTCAACATTCCCCACCAGGGTGGTACACGTTACAACTGATGAACCTATCCTGACACAACATAGCTATCCAGAGTTCATCATTTACAATTTGGTTAATTCTTAGTGTTGTTTTGATACATCCTGTGTTTTTGGACAGATGAATAATGATCTGTACCATCATTGTGGTATTATAGGAAATAGTTTCCCCTTCCTAAAAATGCTCTGTGCTCCACCTATTGATCCTTCCCCACTAAACCCTGGCAACCACTGATCTTTTTACTCTCTTCATAGTTCTGCCTTTTCCAGAATGTTCTATAGTTGGAAACATACAGTCATATGTAGCCTTTTCAGATTGATTTCTTTCACTTAGTAGCATGCATTTAAGGTTCCTCCATATCTTTTCATGGATCACTAGCTTATTTCTTTTTAGTACTGAAATAATATTGCATTGTCTAGGTATACCACAGCTTATTAACCCATTTAACCCACTGAAGGACATCTTGGTTGCTTTCAAAAGTTTTGTCCTGGGTCCTTTTTGGGAGTCGGGGGTGGTTGGGAAAAGGAAAGACAGGCATCAAACTTAGCTATGGACAGAGCTTGAACAGTCCTTCATGGGTTCTCAGGCCCTTTTCAAATAGATTTCCATCAGGCCTGTCCCACTGTTTCAAATGTACCCAAACACACTTTCAACCCCTGCATATATTGTCTGAACTTTGACTGAAACATACTACCTACCAAGTGTGTATTAGGAAATAAGGATACAGTTCCTGGTCTTAAAAAGCTGATAGACTAGTGGATAACTAGTCAGATAACTGACAAGAATTGATTTGTACAAATGCAGCGAGACTTTCAGAAAAGCTTCAAATTGAAGGTGAGTTTCCAATGATGTTTTTCAGTGTTTGGTTCTGGCAGTTCTATAGTGATGTAACAGACAGGCAGCCTATTTGAGTATAAGGATTCTTAGTACATAGATTCATTACTGAGGGTGCATTCCATGGAAAGTTTTAAAGATATACTCTTTGTTTTTGAGAGAGAGAAAGGGACCCTTCTCCCAGTTCCTGACACATACTGAATCTTGACTTTAGAAATCATATTGTCTTGGGTTTAAAGCCCAGTTTTGCCAGCTATCAACCACGTGACTCTGGAAAAATTACCTATCCTCTCCAAGCTTCTGTTTCCTAAGTTGCAAAGCTGACATTCTATTTTCTGTAGGACTATTGTAAGTATTAAGTGATGCTTAGCATGGTGTTTGGTGTGTAGGGAGCATTCCAAAGATGACATTCACTTATTCTATGACTTCTTGCTACATATGTTTTTGAACACAGATGCCAAGATTGTTAGTGTCCTTTGGGGCACTAACAATTGGAGAAGTGTACCCTGAAGGAGGGAGCTGACCATCTTACAACCAGGGCCTAGACTCCGTGAAAGGATTTAGGTAAGTCATAAATGTGCAGGCTCAGATATTGTTTTTTTTAAAAAATTGATTAAGAACTATTCAATAAACACTATGGGAAAGGTGCTGTGCTGAGCACTGTAGGTGATACAAAAATGACCGTGAGCATTGATCCCTTCTTTCTAGAAGACTGCAGTCACTAAGTACAAGAGCATTACAAATATATATAAAAGTATACTACCTACCATAATAGGTTAAAGGATTTGTGACAAAGGAAGAAATAAAAGCCTAAAAGTTTCAGGATAAGAGAGAACATTTGGTTGAGTATGTGTTTAGGGCTGAGGGCACTGTTGAGATTAGTGAAATGGAATTTCTTCTGTGTCTGAGCATGGATGACCTTTAAATCGGCAGAGATGGGCAGAGGTGGATAGGTAGGAAAGCACAGTTGAGGAAATGGCCAATAATCCTGTGTCAGGGAATGCAGGACATACTTTGGGGAGAAATGGGTGATAATGCTAGAAAGATGGTGAGGGAAAAGCCTACAGCTATTACTCAGCTATGTGTTTTTTCCTCATATCTTTTTATGTAAAACGTTGATACTTTGTTCATTGTTTTGCTTTGTTTTGTTTTGGCATTCTGGCTTTTTGAGATATTGCATTAAAACATTATCTTGAAAATCTACTTTTTTGGCACCTCCTTAAATTTCATTCACCTGGCCCTAAAGCACTTAGGTCATGGTATAAGACTGGCACAAAGTCCAGAGCTACCCGTAGGAAAAGACTCAGGATCTTTGGCTGAGTTTGCACTTGGCATTTTCCAAGCCCTCCCTAGATAGAGCACAGCCTGCCTGGGAAAAGGAGCCGCCGGGGTGGACTACAATTCCCAGAAGGCCGTGCGACCCGGCACCCACGCCGATTGGCTGCTTGGGCCCCGCCTCCGCCCCGCCCCTGCCTCGAGGACCCGGGGCGGCGAGTCCCGGGCTAGCGTTCTCCCGAATCGGCTACCCTGTGGGATCTTGCACTGCCGGCAGGCTTCAATGGCGGCCCAGCCAGTGTCCCGGGTGGTGCGGCGGGTCCTGAGAGCCGGCGTCCGAAGCTGCAGCTCTGGGGCTCCGGTGACGCAGCCATGCCCTGGGGAGCCTGTCGTGGAGGTGAGCCCGTCCGCATCCACACTTTTCCTGGGGGAGCCAGTGGCCAGGCAGCTAGCTGCCCAGAAGCACCCCGGCCCCTCCGCGGCAGCTGCTTCTGAAAGTGGTGTCCGCTCCTGGGAGGGACCCCCCTCGGCGCTTAATTAGGGGCACAGGGAGAAGTGTGGAAAGATATTCTCTAGATCGACCGCCCAGTCCCACCTGGAATCCCAACTGGAGGTGCCGGGGTGGGGGTGCTCCCTGGGGTCTGACTCAAAAGCTTCCCTGCCCACCCGGCCAGGCAACCTCCTTCCAGGTCTGAGTGACTCCCAGAGATGGGGGAGCAGGCGGGCAGGCAGGACTCTGGGACCAGTGTGATGTTATTAGCACCCCTCTCAGCCCTGCCTCACACCCCTAAACAGCTTCTTCCTGAAACAGTTTCCACCTTGTACCCCCCGGGGAGGTTGTCTGTGTGATCAGGTGTTTCTGTGACACCTACTTCATAATGTGGCACTGACTAAAAATGTCACTTTGTAGTCACCTGGCTGTGTGACCCGTCCTTCACTGGCTCTTTGTGTTACATCTTCATTTCCCTTAGGAGGGTTCAGCCTGATTCTGGAGCAGAGTGGAGCCCAGAACCTGGGCTCTTGCAGGATTGGGGATCTGCTGTCTCTTTAGGATTAGGATAGCACCCCCACCCCCACCCCCACGCCTGAGTCCTTAGCAGCATCTCAGAGGGATTTTTGGCGTGACAAGTTTTCAATTTGTTTTGCCCATCTTGTCAGGGTATCATTTTGGGAGAAGTCTTTTTATTTGGTGGAACCTCTTCTGGGTCCATTTGGTCATTCCTTTCCCACCCCCTGGCACAGGACTTCAGGTTCAGGGGCTCAGCAGGTCAACAGACTGAGCACCTGCTGTTGCTCAATCAGGAGGAGAGTCTCAGGTTAAATGGCTTTCCTCAATTCTGACCTCCCTCCTCACCCTCAGGATCCTTAGATAAGCAGTTCTCATTGCTGGGAGGTGAAGAAGTGTGTCCAAATTCTTGAACTCTGAACGTCATGGAGGGGAAAGTGGGGAAACCAAGATGGCTGAGAGGTCTTTAAAGAGTTCAGGAAAAGGGAAGTTTCTCCTCTCCACCCCCAGCCCCTAACTTACGTTGTACTTTTCAGCCTGTGCTAAGAGGCTTCATTTATGGTCTCACAGAGGCCTCACAGTAAACCACCTGAGGTGAGTAGAGTTTGTATCTTCAGTTGAGGGAGCCCATGGAAGTGAACTTCTCTGGACCCCCCTGAGCTGTAAAGTAAGTGAGCAGAGGCTCAAACGCTTGCATCTGTGCTCCGGCTTCTTTTCCGCAGGGAGGGTGGGGGAGGCTGCTCCCACCCTTTCCTTTGCACTGTGAGGGAGGAGGGATCATTAGCAGGTAGGAAGGTGGACTTGAGCAGAATGCCTCAATTTGAATCCCAGCCCTGCCACTTATTAGGTATGTGAACTTCAGCAAGTCCCTCTCCCTCAGTGCCTCAGTCTTCTCCTCTGTAAAATGGGGATAACAGTGTCTCCTTCTTAGGGTGGTTATAGAGATTAAAGGAGTTAATGTAATGTGTATACACACTTGAAAAGTCTGGCCCGTGTACATGCTGTGCATGTGTATTTCATGTTTGTCTTCATTATTATCCTTGCCACCATTGTCACATGCTGTGTCCCATAAGTCCCCTCCCACCTGGACACTCAGGACACTCATTCTGTCACCTGTTTGCTCACAGACCCCCCCACCCTGGACATCCCCTACCAGGGTTATCCTCCGCAGACAGGTTGCTCCCCTGTGTTTCTGGGCCGTGGAGGCAGCAGATATATGGGGCCAAGCTTTCACACTCGCCGTGCCCCCAGCGTGACCCAGCTCCTGGGCCTGTGGCTTCCCCTCTTTTTCAGGCCTTTAAGACCAGGCCATCTGTACGCAGTTGAGGGAGGGCATGGCATGTCCTTCGGGGAGACTCAGAGGTGAGCAAGTCTTGGAGACAGGTGTGTTCTGCCCATCCACTGAGCTTGCCAGTTGGTGGGACCAAGGGTGGGGGATCCTGGAATCCCTGACCTCCCTTCCCTTCCAGCAGGGCGCCTTCCCCACACTGGGCCCTGGAGGTCTGGTTTGGGATGGGAGGTGCTGGGAGAGACAAGGGGAAGCCAGGAGGTGGTGTCTGTCTGTCAGGGTGTGGGCGGGAGCTGGCTGCAAGGATGCTGGAAGGGGCCTTGGGCTGGGTCCACTGGCAGCTTGAGGAGCTTCTCCAGGGGCACAGGGGAGGTGCGTGGGTACACGGGGAGGTGAGTAGGGGAGATGGAGCTCCCTGCCAGCCTGGTTGGCACAGTCGGGACAGAGGGCTTCCCACAGTTGCAAGCACTACACCCCTTTTTCTCCGTCTCAGGCTCCGTGCAGGCTTTGTTGGGGTGACACGGTGCTGGCCTCAGGGCCCGGGCCTGCTGCCTTGGTTCAGGGGAGAGGCTGACTCCATGCCAGCGGCACTTAGTTATTCAGGGAGCCGGGAAGAACACGTGTTGGACAGGTTCATGCAGGGAGGGACTGGGTACATGAGGAGGATGGCCGGGCCAGGCCTGGGGCAGTCACCCTCGGGAGGAAGGCAGACTTTTCAGGAGGCCTGTCTGAACATCCAACCTTCCCAGCTCCTCAGAGGCTTCGTTTCAGTGAAGTGTGACTCTCCCTACAGATGTAAAGACCTCAGACTTAGGGTGGGGCTGGAGGGCAAGTGGAGGTCAAGGCCTGGGGCTGGGCACTTTGCCCAGGTTCCCTCATTTAATAGAGATGAATTTTGAACATCCCTGGGTATAGCTCTTCCCAAAGAGGGTATAAATTGGGCCAGTGATATTTGGATTTGGCCTGTCTCTTTGTCCCCCCCGCTCCTCTGGTACCTACCCTCCAGAGCTGTTTGGAGGTTGGCCTTCATCAGTCAAATCAAAGGCCCGATGTTACTGGATACCAGGGAAGGCACGTGGGGGGCAGGCCCCTCCCTAAACTGACTCCTTCCACTATCCTTCCCCACCTCGCCCAGTCTGTACTGGTGGGAGACGACACGTAACCAGTAGCATATGGCCGGCTGCCTTGTGCCCAGTTACTCACACTGGTGTCCATGGTCCCTGGGTGGCTCAGACCCTGCTTGCCCTGCTTCGAGTGGTGTGAGGGCAGCTCTGGAAACCCCAGCCTTGGGCCCTCTGCCATTAAGTAGGGCTTTGCAAGACTAGGGAAACTGATGTGAGTGGGAAAACTAGTCATAGTGTATACAACTAGTGCCCTTCCATGGATATATGATGACCGGATATTTCTAAGCAGGAGTTAGAGTAAGTGAATTGGAGCAGTCTCTTCCTGAACCCCTACTGTGTGCCAGGAGGTCCTGCAGTTGACTTAGGTAGGATTATTCTCCATACTTTATGGACGAGGAAGCTAAAGCTGAAAGGGTAGTAGGCAGCCGGGCCTGTCGTTCGGGTTTCCCTGCCTCCAAAGCCAATGCTCAGAACTGGAATCACCCAGCTTAACATGTCACCGGATTCTGGTGTGGCTGGGCCAATGGTTCTCAACCTGGGCTACAGAGAAGAATAGGAACGCTGTAAACAAAGCCAGGGCCCCAACTCAGAGCAGCTGAGACAGAATCTTTGGTCTGGGGCTCTGGCATCAGTACTGCTCAGAAGTTCTTCAGGTTATTTTAATGTGTAACAGGAGTTGAGAGTCCCTGTTAGAGGCTAAACCATTTGTTTTTTTAAACTTTGGAGAAGGGCATGGCAACCCACTCTAGTATTCTTGCCTGGAGAAGCCCCCAGACAGAGGAGCCTGGTGGGCTATATAGTCCATGGGGCCGCAAAGAGTCGGACACAACTGAAGCGATTAACACACATTGTCGCTTTACAGCGTTGTACCACAAAGTGAGTGAGCTATATGTATACATTTACTCTTTCCCTCTTGGCCCTCCGTGGGGCTAAAGCATTTTGACAGTAGAGATAAGCCTAGCAATGAGAGGCTACCCCAGTGTAACTAGGTTTTACACATACCACCTTTCTCTCTAGATTGGGGACCTGCCTGTCTGTCCATTGATACAGTTGGTTCGACACCTGCTATGACACGGGGATGCTGAGTCAGGCAGGAAGACTTCCCACCCCAGGCTGGGCCCGGGGAGTCTGAGCAGCCAAGGGTGTTCTGCTTGTGACATGTCCTAGCCTCTCCTGGGCGAGAGGCTTCACTGTCTAATCTGCCCGGTAATTCTTCCTGGATTCCAATCTCCTTTGACTGGTGCTAATATTTTTTTTTTTCCCCTTCAGGGGGTTTAAAGGAAAGGAAAACAAGAAAAAAATGGAAGAATGAAAGTAGGACATGTAGTGTTGGAGGAGAGAGGAGGCAGGGATGAGGCGTGTTAATATCCAAGTGATGAGTTTGCAGTCCTGGCTGGGAGAGGGAGAGGAGAGATGTGTTTGTGTGTGTTTAGGAGGCTGCTTCAGGTACTGGCTATAGGATCTGAATGAATGTAGATAAGGTCCCTCTTGGTTTCAAAAATGAAATCTGTCCTGCCCCACCCTTGGCCAGAACAGAGGGCCCAATTCCTTGCTGACTTGCCCCATTCCACATCCCCTCTCCGGTTTCTGCTGAGTCATTCGCCTCTGTCCTGTCACTGGCTCCCATTCTGAGATTCATTCAGGTTCCTCCCTCACCCAGCCACCTCCCCAAGGATGTTCAGATTAGGGTGAGGAGGACATCGTGGGAGGAGGGGCCCTGGAGTGATTAACCAGTTACTGAATTGTGAATAGCTGTTGATTTCTGGGTGTCTGGGCTCCTGGACTCTGGTGGGCAGTGGGGATGGGACTCTTGATTCTGCTGTGTGTCCCTGCCCCACCCGAAAGGGCATGGGTGGAAAGGCAGTGGGGTGAGTAGGGAGGGAGGAGGAAGCACTGTTGTGATTATTTCAGACTGCAATTCAGGAAAGTGACGGCTACTTTCTGGTCCCTGGACCATGAGCAGAGTTTCTTAGAGGATTGGGAAGCCGGTCCTGGAGTGAGCAGAGCGAGGTCAGTTTTATGGACCCAGGAAAAACCCGAAGCACCCCCTGTTCTCTCTCTTTCTCTCTCTCTCTCTCTCTCTCTCTCATTCCTTCTGCCTCTTGAGTCAGTCAGTGGCCCTTGACCTTGGCCGTACGTTAGAATCGCCCAGAGAGATGAAAAACACAGGCACCTGGAGATCTGAATTCAACTGGTCTCCACGGGAATGTTTTTCTTCAATTCCCCAGATGGTTCTAACATGCAGCCAGGGCTGGGGAGGTCCCCGAAGTAAATGTTTCTCTTTCCTGGACTGCAGGAGACCCAGACACCTGCTTTCTTTCTTTTTTAAACTTTTTAAAAAAATTTTTATTGGAATATAGTTGATTTACAATGTGCTGTATAGCAAAGTGACTCACTTATACATACATCCACTCTTCTTCAGATTCTTTTCCCATATAGGCCATGACAGAGTGCCGTTCCCTGTGCAATACAGTAGGTCTTTGCTAGATCTATTTTATAAAAAGTAGTGTGTATACCGGCTTCCCTGGTGGCTCAGTGGTAAGAGAATCCGCCTGCTGATGCAGAAGATATGAGTTGGATCCCTGGATCAGGAGGATCCCCTGGGGAAGGAAACGGCAGCTCAGCTGTGCATTCTTGCCTGGAAAACCCCATGGACAGAGAGGGGAGCCTGGCAGGCTACAGCCCGTGGAGTCCAAGAGCGTCAGACATGACTTAGCAACTGCGTGCACGGCACAGCAGTGTGTGCCTGTCAGCACACACACTTTATAAGCCTTCCAACTTGTCCCTTCCCCCTTTCTCCCGTGGCAACCGTAAGATTGTTTTCTACATCTGTAACTTTTTTTTTTCCTATTTTGTAAATAAGTTCATTTGTACCATTTTTTTTTTTTTAGATTCCACATGTAATTGATATGATATTTGTCCTTCTCTGTCTGACTTCATTCAGTATGACACTCTCAAGGTCTATCCATGTTACTATAAATGGCATTATTTGTTCTTTTTTATGGCTGAGTCATCTTCCATTGGGTATAAGTACCACATCTTCTTTATCCATTCCAGAGGCCTGCTTTATTCGGTTATAAGATGGTGATAATCTGGGGTGTTTCTCTGCCAGCATCCTGACTAACCCCCTCTCTTACAGCAGGACACTTTTACCCCATAACTGTCCTTGTTTTATAGCTGGGACAGCAGACCAAGAGGAGTCAGAGAGCTTTGCCAGTCTGTCAGGGCACACAGAGCCCGGAAATCAGGGTTCTTGCCCCCAGTCCAAAGCTCTATCCGTAGACCTCACAGATGACCACCACGGTCATGATTTCATTGTTCTAAAGACTCCAGAGAAATGACTTCTCCCTGCTCTGTATTCCATCCTGTGTACCTTCTTGGACACACCCTATGCAGTTAGGGGGAAGACTGCAGAACTTAGAAGACCTGGTTTTGAGACCTGGTTCCACCAGGGGTGTTTGTGGGCCCCATCCAAGCATTGGTTATAATAATCCTTTCAGGTGTGGGGATGGAGCAGAGAACATTCTTTGGAAACCTCAAGATGCCTGGCAGATGTTATTTCTGTGGGGCAGTTATCATCAACATCTGTCATGATCTAGGGTTGTGCTCTAAATCAGGGGTCCCCAACCTTTTTGCCACCAGGGACCAATTTCATGGAAGACAGTTTTCTACAGACTGGGGCTGGGGGTGGTTTGGGGATGATTCAAGTGCATTATGTTTACTGTGCACTTTATTTCTAATCTAATGCTGCCACTGATCTTATAGGATGTATCGGTCCACAGCCTGGACTTCGGGGACCCCTGCTCTAAAGGGAGGGGGGGAGACAGAGCAGATGATCTCAGACTTGGGAAAGGGGGAGGGAGGTTGGCTGCCTCCTTTCCCTCCCCCAGGATGAGTTTGCGCCTTGTGAGCAGCCTTCAGCAATCCCTTACCCCCTCCCAGTGGGTCCTTAATCCTTTCTGCTGGCAGTGGGTAGGTGAAGGGTAAGGACTGATGTAATCTGGGCATGGGGTTAGCACGGTGGCCATCCTGGCAACTCCACCCTCCCTTCCTGGGGACTGGTGGCCTCATTCCCTCTGTGGGTCCGCCTGGTTGTACTGTCCTTACCCCAGGGCCTTCTACAGGAGGGAAGACCCCGGTCGCAGGTGTACCCACCCTGGCTGGCTGCGGCCCCCAGCTGCTCCTGGGGGTGTAGTCTGTTGGGTCCTCCTGGGCAGTGGGAGGGCTCCAGAGAGCGCCGCCGCCCCCATCGCCAAGGGGGAGGCAGCTTGTGTGACCCCCTCTGCCACAAGGAGTAATTGCTTTGAGCTCAAGGTAAGAAGGGCTTCCCTTGTGGCTCAGCTGGTAAAGAATCTGCCTGCAATATGGGAGACCTGAGTTCAATCCCTGGGTTGGGAAGATCCCCTGGAGAAGGGAAAGACTGCCCACTCCAGTATTCTGGCCTGGAGAGTTCCATGGACTGTATAGTCCATGGGGTCGCATAGAGTCAGACACGACTGAGCGACTTTCAGTTTCATTTTTAAGGTAAGGAAGGGGAAGCCTGGGTTGGAGAATCGGTTCCAAGCCAGTGCCCTCTCAGCTGCCTGCTCCTCCCTCCTCATTTCTGGATGTGTTTCTTGGGAACTGAGAGGCACATGCCCTCCCGGTGACCCATCCAAAAGATGCTAGGGATGGCTGTTCCTGGATGGGCATCCTTTGAGGGAGGCGTGACAGTTAGGAGGTGGGGGCTGGGTGGGGTCTAGTGCCCTTTGCCCTGTCCTGATGCCCAAGCAGCTGCACCCCAGCAGAGGCCCTGCACCCCCAGGGCTGAATGTGAGGCTTGGAGGGGCAGGTCCTTCCTTCTAGACCTGTCTCTCATCCTGTGAATGAGGGGAGACTTCCGGGCCCCCAGAACCGCGGAGCCCACATATGGATGGAAAGGCAGTGTGTGCGGCTGTCAGAGGTGAAGGAGGGGGAGGTTGATGGGTGGGTCTTGTCCCAGAGGTGGGCTCTCCCCACACCTGCCCCCCAGCCCATGGTTCCTCCCACCCCACTGCAGGTGCCGTCCAGGCCGAGGCCGTTCCTGAGGGAGGGCGCCGCCCCCTTCTCCGCCTTCCTCATCGACAGCTTCGGCCGGCGCCACAGCTACCTGCGGATCTCCCTCACCGAGAGGTGCAACCTCAGATGTGAGTCTCCCCCCCGCCCCGTCCCTGGGGGGCCCTCTCTGGACACCTGTCCCTCTTCTGCAGTGGCCCCTGCAATCACCCCCAGTCCAGGAATCCCCTTCCCCATTCCTCTTTCTAGAAAACTCCACCCAGCCTTCTTCCTTGCTTGTCAAGTTGGGTTCAGGGGCAAGCTGGTGATCAAGAGTGAGTTTTGTGATCCTGGAAGCTGGGTTCTCCTTGGAATTAGGCTGGAGAACAGAATTGCTGCTGGGTTCAGGATCGAGGCTGACCTGGGACCTACCACGGGCTCGGGACTCTTCCTCCCTCCCTCCTATTTCCCTGAGGTCCGCACAGTGCACGCCACAGCATGGGGCCCGCCGGGCACTGTAAACAGGTGAAAGAGGCCAGTGCCCTTGGCCTGCGCTGCCAGGTATAGCAAAACACTCCAGTTGCATCAGACAAGTCGTCTGGGGCCAGTCCTCATTGCATAACATCATATAGAAAGCTCTGGGGCAGATCCACTGCTGGAGGGACTTCCAAAGTGTGTGCGTCCATCTGTCCTGCCTTTCTTCCATCTTTCCTCCCTCCCTCCCTTCCTCCTACTATAACTCACAGTAAGAAATGTATTTACTTCATGGCCCAATAAACACTTGCCTGTGTCGTAAATGTTCAACCTAACAATACTTACCCCATGCAGTACTGATGTTCTTACCTAATCTGTTCCATCTTCAAAGACCAATTCTAGACCCTCCCCTAACCTGCCTGACTCCCTCGCAGGTCCTGACCACTAGCGCTAAACCTGTCCCACGGGAACTGAAGGGAGGAAATGGTGCGCCTTTCACCAGCCAGGGCTCACCTCGTTCTCCCCTTTTGCTGCCTTGCCCTGAACAGGCGGAACCTCAGTCTTCCAGCCTGTGAAATGGGACCGGTGTTCGGTCACCTGGAGGATGTAGCCTGGGTGTGGGAACACGTGTTGCCACAGAGGGGCGTGGCTTTGCCCAGGGCAGGGGGCACCTCCTGGCCTCCTGCACCTCAGGACACACAGAGGGCGGGGCTCACTGTTGGTCAAAAGCAGATGAGGTGAAGGAACTGAATGATTCGGGCCCTGGCCTTCCGGGCAGACCCCGCCCAGCAGCCCCTCACAGAGGGAGTCGGTCTCCCCCTGCCCCTACCTCCAGCCAGGTTGCCCTGGCGGCTCGTTTACCATCTTTAACCCATGGAGGACAGCAAGGCCAGATGGGGAGGGCTGTAGATGAGGAAGGTGAGCCTCAGAGAGAACCTGGCCTAGGGTTTGTGCCACCTCAGACCTGGCCGGGTCTCTCCTCCTGGCCGGATTCCGGAGAAACTTACAGCATGGTGGGCGAGTTGGGGACCGGAGGCCTCGCAGTCTGACCGCCGCACTCACTCCCTTCCTCCGCGTCCCCTCCCTTCCCTCAGGTCAATACTGCATGCCCGAGGAGGGGGTCCCTCTGACCCCTAAGGCTGACCTGCTGACCACAGAGGAGATTCTGACCCTGGCCCGGCTCTTTGTGAAAGAAGGCGTGGACAAGATCCGGCTCACGGGCGGGGAGCCGCTCATCCGGCCGGATGTGGTGGACATCGTGGGTGAGTTGACTAAAGTCACCACCTCTCCCAGGTCCTGCTTCATCCAGCTTGATTCGAATCCAAATATCAGAAGCCAGCACTCCATTGGGATGTTATGCTCACAGAGTCCTGCCGCCCTCTGGAAATAGGCACCATTGTTATTCTCATTTTTGTTAAGAAATGAGGCACAGAGCAGTTGGAGAGTTCGCCCAAGGTCGCAAAGCTAGGAAGTGCCGGAGCCCAGTGTTTTGACGTCAGATTTAGATTAAAGTCCTCCCCCGGGGCTTGGAGGCCCCTGTGATCTGGTTCCATCAACCGCAAAGACCTCTCTCCTGCCCTCTGCCCCCATCCTCCCCCGCCTTCACGCAGCCAAGCGTTTCCACGTGCCTTTGCGCCTCCGCTGGGAGCAGAGGGCTGCCAGCCTGTCTCCTTCAGGGCTCTGCACCAGTGTCATCTCCTTAGGGGCGCCCTCCTTGACCGCTCTGTCTAAAGTCCCTCCCCGCATACACCCCCAGCCGTTCTGCCTCCCAGGAGCTGGCAAGATACAGCCCACGGACAGAACACGGCCACCACATGCTTGTGTGTAGCCTGTAAGCTAAGAATAGTTTCTCTGTTTCTAAATGTGATCGAAAAAGAAAATCAAAAGAATAACATCTGTGGCACATCAAAAGTATATGAAATTTTTAATTCACCATCCATTAATAAAGTTTTATTGGCACGTAACCACACCCACTCATTTACATATCTCCCATGCTGCAAAGCTGAGGCATTGTCGCAAAGAGCATACCGCTGGCAAAGTCAGAAATATTTACTCTCTGGTCTTTCCGACAGAAAAGGTGTGGCAACCCTGCTCTGCCACATTATGTTCTTTGGTTGGTTTTTTTCTTCTTCTTAACTAGCCTGAGAGCTCTCAGGGATCTGGGTGGGTTCTGTTCATAGCTGTGTTTTGAGCACCTAGGAAAGTGCCTGGCACACAGCTGGTGCTCACCAGTGTTTGCTGAATGAATGAAGGTGGTTCCAAGTGCAATCTCTGAAGTACAATACGCCCTTGTGGGGATCTCAGCTGCGCCTGTATACTACTGTTAACAGTCGTATATCTTGGGAAACTTTTAAAGTCCATCCTGAGCCTTCAGATGAAGAGGGTATCCTAACTTATAGGCTGGAGCTGGGGAAGAAATAAAAAGGCAGTATCCAGCAAGTGGCAAGTGCTGTGCGTGGGGTGGCCCTTGCTGTAGGCTGGTTCTAAGCCCTGAGGTCTGGCAGGGACTGTGAGTGTGCAATTATAGATGAAGTCAGAGGAGAATAAGGTTTCATTCTCTTGACTGCTGAGGCCCCCTCCCCTGCTGTCCGCCTCATTGGCTGGTTCAATGCACGTTCTCTAGAGTGCCTGCTTGGGTGCCTGGCACTGTGTTGGGGTCGAAGGGGAGTGATCGCAGGCCCCACCTTCGAGGATCCCAGCCCACTGGCAGGAATAGCAGCCGTGGGGGTTCTGAGGAGGGGTCCAGGGACCCCTGCCAGCTCTTTCCTCCCCCTGCCCTGAGGCCAGCTCCCTACCATCCCCCGCTGGTCACTTGACCTGAAATCCTGGCATCATTCCTGGGGTGCACGCTCTGGCCAAGGGGAGCTGACCTGACCTGCCCTGTTCCAGGACACTTCTTAGGGCCTGATGGGCAGATTGGGTTCCAGGAAGGGGCCCGACCTGGCTGGCTGCCCTCGGTTGGGGCGCTACCTCTGCTGTCTGTCCAGGGCCTGTGGGTGAGTCAAGGGGTGGGGAACACTGCTGGCCAGAGAGGGCTGGCTGAGCACAGTCAGGGGGACACGGAGCTCTCCTCGCAGAGGAGGCGGCCAGGGAGCCAGCAGAGGTGGCAGCCGCGTTGCTACTCTGGGCTCTTCCACCCCCTTGCCGTGTGAACTTGGGCAGGTTCCTGCCCCACTCTGGGCTCAGTGTCATGATCTACACAGTGGTCAGCTCGGGGGTTCTCCTGCTCTGGTGGCCCTGGGTTACTGGTCCTGACTGTAGCGTGAGGATGGTCAAGGGTTGATCACTATATAGATGCTGGTTTGGGCAAGGAACCGGCTACAGTGACCTACTGCGAATGATTTATCTCTTCAAGGGTGTGTATTGGGGCGGGGCCGGGGGACTGTACCCCCTACCCCACCCAGCTCTCCCCCAACCCTCCCCCAGTGTTCTGAGACAATGGCAGTCCTAGGGCCTTGAATTCCCCTGCTGCCGTGTTTGCTGCCACTTTGACATCTCCCAGCCCAGCTTATTTGATTGGCAGAGGTGGTACTTCAGAGTAAAACTGCCCTGCAGGTCAGGGTAAGTGGGGCTAGTGAGGAAGAAAGGCTGGAGGGGGAGGGGAGGGGGCAGTAGGCAGAGCTGAGATGTTCACAAGCACTTGTCCCCCACCCTCCAGATGAGAGTTTTTAGGGACCCCATCCAGGGGGCAGAGTGAAGGGGTTGTGGGTTTCACTAAGTCAGCCGTCTTGGTCTCTCCGGGTCCCTGTGTGAGGCTGTCAGCTCTGGGACTGATGCTGCAGAACTCCCCCTGAGAAGACAGCTCAGCTTGGGAGCCCCTCCAACAATCCAGAGCTGATCCTGCTCTGCTCCTCCTGGCTAGGGTATGAGCAAGTTCCTCCCTTCTTGTCGTGGGTTTAAGGCAGTGCTGGCCGGTAGAACTTCCCGGGATGATGAAAATGTTCTATGTGTTGTCTGATACAGTAGGCAGCCTTGGGCTTCAGATGCTGCTACTGTGACCGAGAAACTGAATTTTTAACTTTATTACAGTTTCACTGATTTAAATGGCCATGTGTGGTTAGCAACTGCCACTGTTGGATGGTGACGGTTTGCGATTTTCAAAAAAAGGAAGCATCAAGTAGGCACACCTTACTTGATGATGCTTCGCTTTACTGTACTTCACAGATACTGTGTTTTTCTACAAATGGAAGGTTTGTGGCAACTCTGCATTGAGCACATCTATTGGTGACATTTTTCCAACAGCATTCACTCACTTTGTGTCACATTTTGGTAATTCTCACAATATTTCCAACTCTTTTTTGTTGTTACCTTTGTGATGGTGATCTGTGATCAGTTTTTTTTTTTTTTAATATTTATTTATTTGGCTGTACTGGATCTTAGTTGTGGCATTCAGGATCTTCAATCTTTGTTATGACATGTGAGATCTTAGTTCCCTGACCAGGTATTGAACCTGGACTCCCTGCCTTGGGAGCTCGAAGTCTTTTAGCCACTGGACTGCCAGGGAAATCCCATGTGATCGGTTGTTTTAGATGTTGCTACTGCAATTGCCCGAAGGCTTAATAGTATTAATTTTTAGCAATAAAGTATTTTTAAATTAAAGTATGTACGTTTGCTTAGACTAATGCTATTGTACACTTAACAGACTACAGGATAGTGTAAACATAATTTTTTTTTTTTTGACCACACTGGGTCTTTGTTGCTCTGAACAGGCTTTCTCTAGCTGTGGCCAGTGGGGGCTATTCTTGGTTGAGGTGCATGGGTTTCTCATTGCAAAGCATGGACTGTAGGTGCTCGGACTCAGTAGTTGTGGTGCACAGGCTTAGTTGCTCCGTGGCGTGTGGGATCTTTCCAGACCAGGGATAGAACCCATGTCGCCAGCATTGGCAGATGGATTCTTTATCGCTGAACCACCAGGGAAGTCCCACATAATTTTTACATGCACTAGAAAACTAGGAAAACCTGTGTGACTTGCGTTATTGTGATGCTTGCCTTAGTACAGTGGCCTTGGAATCAGCCCCACAGTATCCCTGAGATATGCCTGTGAACACACAAGTCCTGTGATGGTGTTGGCAGTGTTTGCAGGGCACTTGTTTTGGCTTCTGACTTCAACACTGACTTGTCACTGTCAGATAACAGCTTAGATGGAGAATCGCTCAGTCCTGCAGGCTTTCACTTTTTTGTTTTGTTCTTCCCTCCTCCGTTCTGTTCTGTCATTATGTTGAACAAATGAAATGTGGAGCATCCAGGTCTCAAAGTTTAGAGCCCATGGTAAGAGGCCTGATGCAATGAAGAGGCATGAATGATTTTTTGAAACGGGGTGAAGTTTTTTCAATTTATTTTTGATGGACTCTAGTTACATAGAATTTTAGAGTAAATCCTAATCCTGGGTTCGTTAAATAATCTCATTATTGATCCATGCATGGCCTTTTTTACTTTATTCATACAAATGTATTTACATGTTTTGATAACCCTATGAATTCCTAAGGAAACCCACTACCTCATGAATTTTTTTTTTTTTTTTTTGGAAGAATCAGATCCCTGGCAAAAACCTTTGACCACCTCTGTGGACTTCACTACCTTGTATTTCTCCTTCCTAAGAAAACACTTTTAAATGCCGTGTTTATCATTCCTTTGCTCTTTAAGAATGATGTCATGTTCCTGAATTTGTAAGTATTGTGCCGTGTGCAGTCTTTCAGGAGTTACTCTTTTGACGCAACTGAAATTCACAGACGTCACCGTGAGTTGTGGTTCGTTCCTTTTCACTTTGATCTTTTCTCTTCAGTCTCCTGTTACATTATGTGAATATACCACACTTCCTGTTAGTGAATGTTTGGATTGTTTCCAGTTTCTTGATGTTATAAACACTGCTGCTTTAAACACTTGTATTCTCATTCATGCATCTTGGTGTACAGTTTCTGTAGGAATGGAATTGCCAGGGTATGGAATATGTGAATGTTTAACCTTGGCAAACAATTCAGCATTGTCTTACAGTGGTTGTACAACTTTACACTCTCCCTAGCAGTACCTAAGTATCTTTTGGATCCTTCCCAGCATTCAGTATTATCATTCTGGACTTTTTCCAGTGGACTGTGTATAAAATGCCATTTTATTGTGATCTTGCTTTGTACTTCCCTGTTGAGAATGAGGTCAGGTGTCTTGTCATGTGTTTATTAGCTATATATATATATATATTTATTTATTTCTGTATGTCATACCAGATCATGTCGTGTACCCATTTTTCTCTTTGGTTTTTCATATTGGT